TGTGTGCCTATCCAGTCCAGGTTGCTCCTCTTCCAATCCAGCTGACTGCTTATGCACTGGGAAAGCTGTGGAAGATGGCCCAAGTTCTTGGACCCCTGCACCTGAGTGGGCGACCAGGAAGAAGTTCCTGGCTCCCTGCTCATGGCTTCGGATCAGCTGAACCCCAGCCACTGCAGCCATTTAGGGAGTGAGCCAGTGGGTGGAAGACCTTTCTCTGTCTCTCCCTCTCTGTCTGTAACTCTACCTCTCAAATAAATAAATAAAATCTTTAAATTTTTTTTTATTATTTATATGAAAGAGTTACAGAGAGAAAGAGAGATCTTCCATCTCCTGGTTGATTGCTCAAATGGCTTCAACCAGGGCTGGGCCAGGCTGAAGCCAAGAGCCTTGAACTCCATCTGGGTCTCTCTCATGGGTGGTAGTGGCCCAAGTGCTTCAAGTGCTTGGGTCATCTTCCACTGCTTTGTCAGGCACATTAGCAGGGAGCTGGATCAGAAGAGGAGTAGCTGAGAACTGAACTGGGGCTCAGATGGGATGTGGCATCTCAGGTGGTAGCCCAACCTACTGCATCACAGAGCTGGCTGCAGTTGTGATTTTCTTAAAATAAAAATGAGGGCTGAGGCGGTGGTGCAGCAGGTTAAAGCCCCAGTGGGCAGTGCCGGCATCCCATGTGGACGCAGATGCAAGTTCTGGCTGCTCCGCTTCAATCCAGCTCTCTGCTATGGCCTGGGAAACAGTAGAAGATGGCCCAAGTGCTTAGCCCTGCACCTATGTGGGAGACCTGAAAGACACTCCTGGCTCCAGGCTTTGAATTGTCCCAGCTCTGGCCATTGTGGCCTTGTGGGGAATAAACCAGCGGATCGAACTCCCATCTCTCTGTCTCTACTTGTCTCTGTAACTCCATCTTTCAAGTAAATAAAAAATCTTAAAAAAGAGAAAAACTTTTAAAAATGAAATTATTTCCTTTCCTAACTAAAGAATAATCAGAGGCCCCCTGCCCTTAGAATCCCAAGTCCTTATTCTGACATGCAAGGGGGTACCAGGCCCATGCTCTCCCCTGGGCAGCCTATCTCTGTGGGGCCTTGGGCCGGCTCCCTGGTGCTAATGAATTCTCAGCTGGTCTGGCTTTCATCCTTTGTACTCTGCCTTGGGGTTTTACGCAGGTTGCTCCCTCTGCTTGTAGCTAACAGGAAAAACCTTTCTTCAGAGAACTCTCCATTGATCATTCTTACCTTCACCTTGCCCTTGCTTTTACTCCAGCACTTTTTAAAAACACGTGTACTACTTATTATGAGCCACATGATATTCTCTTCACTGTCATTTTATTAGATTAAATGATTATCCCCTTTAAAATTTTTTTATTTATTTGTTTTACTTACTTTAAAGGCAGAGAGGGATGGAGAGAGTGGGAGGGAAGGAGAGAGGGAGGGAAGGAGAGGGAGAGGGAGAGGGAGAGGGAGAGGGAGAGGGAAGGGGAGGGAGGGAGGGAGGGAGAGAGAGGGAGAGAGAGAGAGAGAGAGAGAGAGAGAGAAAGGATCTTGCACCTTATTCTCCAAGCACCTGCAACAGCAGGATTAGGCCATGCTGCAGCCTGGAGCTGGAAACTCAGTCCAGGTGTCCCACGTGGGTGGCAGGAGCCCTGCCTCTCAGGGTGCACATGAGTAGGAAGCTAGAATCAGAAGCGGAGCCTGGACTCATCCCGGGCAATCCAGTAGGAGATGCAGGCATGCCACGTGGCGTCTTAGCTGCCATGCCAGATGCCTTTCTGAGGGAGAGGCGTCTGCAGCACCCACAGCTAGCAGGTGGTAAACTCGGATCTGACCCCAGCAGACCAGTTTTTAGTCTCAACCACGGTGCTATATCCTGCTGTCAGTGTCGTAATCCGGAATCATTCTAGTACTTTGTCCTTTCGGTTTTTGTTGTTATTGTTCGTTTTGTTTTGTCTGTCTCTCCCAGAACAGAAACTGTGACCTCAGGAACATCTCACTGGTCATTTACCATTGTGCCTCGTACAAAATGAATGCTTAATAAATGTCTGTTTAAGGAGTGAATGGATGAGTGATAGCAAGAGAAATCAGTACTCCTGTTCATCTTGACAAGGCTGCTCAGGGATTGGCTTGAGTTAGCAGGTCACAAAATGTGATTTTTTTCCTAAACATTTGTAAGTAAGTGTTCTGTAAGCAACTGGAGGCTCCTAGAATAAAGAAGTATAAGGAAACCTTGCTTTGAGGAGTGGTTCAAGAACTTACTTTCTGGGGTAGAAATTTGGTCTAGTAGTTAAGTTACCGCTTAGGATGCCGGCATCCCCTATCAGAGTGCCTGGTTCAAGTCCTGCCTCCTCTGCTTCCCATCCAGCTTTCTATAACGTGCACTCCAGCAGACAGCAGGCGATGGCTCCAGTGCTTGGATCCCTGCCACAGAGAGCTGGATTGAGTTCCTGGCTCCAGACTTCATTCAGCTGTCTCAGCTCTGGCTGTTCAAAGCATCTGGGGAGAGAACCAGCAGAATAAAGATTTTTCTCTCTCTGCCTTTCAAAGACAAGGAAATAAAAATTTTAAAACAAATTATTTTCTACATACTTGTCATTGATATATATATATATATATATACACATACATATTTATAATTGGTATACATGATTATAGTAACCTGCAGAAATAGAAGGGCATGGCGTATGAGGAAGTAAGCACTCCTTCATGTTAAATACCTACACATATAGTTGCTTAGTTCAACATTGAACTAAGCAAGTTATTCTTAAAATTATTTATGCATTTATTTTTACTCTATTTGAAAGGAGAGAGAAAAAGAGAGAAAGAGAGAGAGAGAGAGAGAGAGAGAGAGAGAGATAAAGCGCCGTTGGTTCATTTCCTAAATGCCTGCAACAGAGCAGCCAGGGTTGGGACAGGCTGAAGCCAGTAGCCTGGAAACTCCATCATGGGTGGCAGGGACCCAGTATTCAAGTCACCACCTACGGCTTCCTAGGATATGCACTAAAGGAATGTTGGATCTCAAGCAAAATACCTGGGACTTGAACCAGGCACCGCAATATGGAATGTGCAAATCCCAAACAGTGACTTAAATCTCCGTGCCAAACGCTTACCCCTGAATTCAGCAAAATTTTAAAGTATTGCTGGATGTGCTTGGATGAAGTTGGACTGAAGGTATTAACAGAAAGGCATCCGTCAGAAAAACGGGGCAGGATAGAGCACAGAGAATGGGCAGCATGGAAACTTAGACAAAGGAAAATCACGGAGCCCAACTACTGTCTCAGTCTTTGCCAAAGCAAAGGGGGATCCAGGCAGTGTTCTCCAGCCAGTGGCCCCTTTGGAGGGCTATGCTCAGAGTGCTGGCATGAGCAATGGCCAGGGACTTACCTGGATGAGGCCGGTGAGGTGAGGGGGAGCAGGTGTCATCAGCAGTGGGCCATCCTTCCTCAGTGACACAGAGAACAGAGGGGAGCAGAGGAGGGACTCTCAGCTGCAGGGATGGGGCGATGTGTTCCTGGTCACCCCCTATCTGTAGGAGGTCAGAGTTCATGGTGCCTCCACATTTTGAGTGTTTTCTCCTTTGACTTACCGACTTCTTAGGTCGGATACTCACACGAGAACACACTGCTGGGATGCTCAGCACTTGGAGGGACTCTTTCGTGCCTTTCCTGAGGCAGTGCAAATCGCCAGCAGACAGCCTGCTGGGGTTGCTCATTTGCCCCCTCCACAGCAGCAGCCTCTGTTTTAGTAAGAAAACTGCCCTGTGTGCTGAACACATTTTGGCCGCTGAGACAGCGTGGGAAGAAGTCCCCTGGAGAGTGGACAGGGGCTAGTTAGACCCAGTAGTCACCCAGGCGTGTGAAATTGCTCCTTTTCCTTTTTTTTTTAAATTTCATTTTTAATTTTCATGTTAATTAACTTTTAGCAGATTCACTATGATTTGTAGACACGGACGTAAGGAATCCTTGGTTGTTCTTGGTTCTCATCTCCCCGGGTCTCTGCCACCGCTTCTACTCTGCATTCGGCTCTTTGTGTCTCTTCCTCATTGCCCTCACACTGACTCCCCAGGCGTTCTCTGGGGGGCTCTCAGGAGCCTGAAATGCTTGGTTGCTGAGTTTGTGTCCGTCATGTGTGAAGACCAAGTCCACGGAGGGGTCCTGTGCAGGGCTCTGCAGCGGGATTCAGATCATCAGTGGTCTTGCGGAGAAGATGCTCATGGGTATGGACTTAACGAATGCCTGATCCTGCACACATCAGCCCTCCATGCCTTCTTCTCCCATTACAAACGGGGAGGGGGTCCTGGTTCCTGCCTCAGACAGTTGTTGTGTTTGGAAAGAATGGTGCGGCAGACCCAGAAGCAAGCCTGCACGTGGTCCAAGAACTCTTTAGTTCAAATGTTTATTGTAGGGTCTTGCTGATGCCTTATATGGGGAATTTCGTGCTATTATCCTTTACTGAGCAATCAGAGGCAGATGGCACTTTGACAGAACCACCATTGGGGTTAAGAAGTACAGCTTCTGGAACCTTACGGGGCGCCTGCTGCCTGGCGGTGCTTTTCTGAGCCGACTGATCTTGGGATAAGATGGGCACAGCACGCCGGCCAGCCCGGAGGACCAGGCCGGACCAGAGATGGGGGAGGCGGGCACCTCGGAGCGCGTCAGGCCTTGGAGACGTCGCGGTTGTTGGGTGAAGCAGGCCGGGAAGGCTGTGCGGGCGCCCACCGCGGTAGCCTGGCTCGCTTTTCTCTGGAGCAGGCGCCCACTCCAGGCTTTCCCGAGCTCCAGAGGGGACGCCCAGGTCACCCCCGGGGGCTTGGACGTGCGCCGGGACAAAGCCAGCAGTGAACGCCCGCCCCCCACCCCGTGCGCACATCCCGCCGCCCCCGCCCCGACCCCGTGCGCCTTCCCGGCGGAGCAGCTGGCGGCGGCCCCGCGCGCCGGCGGGAGGCGCCTCGGGAGCGCCCGGCCGGTCCCGCCCCTCCCCGCGCGCCGACTCCACGCTCCCCGCCCCCTCCGGCGGCGGCGGCAGCGGCGGCCGCGGCCGGGCGGGACCGGAGGGCGCCGGGAGCGCCTGCATCACTGGGCGCGGGCTGCAGCGGAGCCGGAGTGAGCAGGTGCAGCGAGGAGCGCGCGCCGCGGCCGGGTGCTACTGCAGTGGCGCGGCCGGGAGACATGGCGGCCGCGCGCCCCTGAGGACGCGGAGCCCGGAGCCCCCCGGCGCCCCGCCCGGGCCATGCGGCGCGGCCCCTGAGCGCTCCCGGGGGCCGGCGCCCCGGACGCGGCCGTGAGCGCCCGCCGCGACCCAGCATCCGCGCGCGCGCGGCCTCGGCTCCCCGGACGCGCGGCTGCGAGCCGGCGCCGCACTCTGCCTGGCGTCCCCGCCGGCCTTGGCCGGCTCGCTCCGCCGCCGCCCGTGCGCCTCCTCCGCCTCGCGCGCCGGGGCTATGGCCGCGGCCGAGGCGCTGCAGACGGCGGACCAGTACCAGGCCGAGATCGAGCGGCTGACCAGGGAGCTCACGGAGACGACGCACGAGAAGATCCAGGCGGCCGAGTACGGGCTGGCGGTGCTGGAGGAGAAGCTGGCCCTGAAGCAGCAGTACGACGACCTGGAGGCCTCCTACGACGGCCTCAAGCAGGAGCTGGAGCAGCTGCGAGAGGTGAGGGCGCGCGGCCGGGGCTGCGACTGGGCCCCTGGGTGGGTGGGAGAGGCTGGGGCGCCCTTTGTTTTTCTCCCGAGAGGAAGATCACCCACGAACCGAGTCGCGGGCTGGAACGTGGTGGGGCAGTGCCCGAGGGGCGGAGAGGTCGGAGGGGTCCCCGAGGGCGGCGTTCAGCGGCGTTGGAACGCGCGCACCCAACTTCTCTCTCCGTTCGGTGTCGGCTCCGTGCCGGTGACCGTGACCGTCCCGGGTTTGCACCCCAGGACGCGCGGTTCCGGATCTGCGCCAGGTGCGCCGGGTGGGAGAGGGAACTGTGGTGCGGAGAAGTCTTGAGCAGTTCGGGTCGCCGGGGGCTGGGCTGGGCCCTGTGGCCCTTCAGGTCGTTGGGCTTAAGGAGACGTTAAAGCGGCTTTGCTGCCCGACGCAGCCGCCGTGGGTTTGCCCCTGAGGCCCGGGAACGGGGAACTCCCCTGCGAGTGCTCCCGGGGCGCCTCGCCTGTCGGGGGCCGGGTGGCCCTGCGTGTCCGAGGAGGCACACGGTGTGGGGATGACGGTGGCCAGGAAGCCAGAACACCGCACGTCGTGTGTCCTCCCTGCTGTTTGAGGAGCGCCGTCTGCTTCCCCTGGTCGCTGAGGCGCTGGGGGTGGCAGGGAACTGGCCAGGAATGCAAATGAATATACACAAGTCTGTGTTTTAGGCGCCTGTTGGCGTTTTAAAAGCTAATTCTTGTTTGACATACAGTGTTCTCAAAATCTTTTCTTACAAGGTAAGTTTGTGTTTTTTTTTGGTGGGGGGAGGTGTCGTGTGTTGTTACAGTTAAAAAACATGATTTATAACCTATCCGACACCCAGCCTTCTAAATGAGTACATAATACAGTAAGCATTTATACTTTCGGAGATGCCTTATTTTCTTCTGATGCCTAAATACCAAGAAATTGATGTAGTACATGTGCTTAAAAACCCAAGTGGAAATTAATTTTTATGTATCAGGCTGTCAGTGTCTAGTCTGTGCTTTGTTTTGTTTTTTAAACCGTGCGCACGTCTGTTCTCAGCAGCGGCTGGATTTGTTTATATTTTCCAAATTGGATTAGGTCTTGGTCTGACATGTGTCCGTGCCGTGGCGGGAGCCTCTTGGAGGAAGGCGACAGGATGAGGACTGTAATTCTTGGAGCTGTGTTGCTGCTGTCTTCACCTCTCCGCGCTGATTAGCGGAGTGCAGAGCAGTCGGTGTGAGGGCATCACCTTCTTGGTGCAGGAGGGGTTTCATGTGCTGAAATGGAACGAAACTTTGCCTGGCCTTCCTGCTTGACTTCAGCTAGGGAGTCTGTCCTTGCACTTCCCCTGCGTGGTGAACCTTGCTGCAGTTGGCTGTGGCGTTTAGAAGACCACAGGCTCTTGAGACGAGAAACCTATTATTTATTTACTTCAAATAGACACACAAAATGGTTTGTGTTTGTCACTGATGACATGATGATTTGAAGCATATACACACCATGGAATGGTTAAATCTATCTGATTGTTGCAAATATGTTACTTCCTAGTTATTTACACAGTGAGAACACTTACCCACTGTATGCATCTTTTGAGAATACAGTGTAGCTTCATTAACTGTAGTTGTCTTGCTGTGCCATGGATCTCTTCAACTTATTCCTGCTGTGAGAGTGACATTATGAATCCTTGGACTAATACCTCCCCACCCCTCCTCCACCCAACCACCCCAGCCTCTTGTAACCTCCCTCCGTCCCTCCCTCCCTCCCTCCCATCTTTCCTTCTTCGACTTATTGCAAAGGCATAGAGAGAGTGAGCGAGAGAGAGCGAGAGAGAGCGAGAGCTCTTCTGTCAGCTGGCTCCTTTCCAAGTGCTCACAACAGCCAGAGCTGGGCCAGGCTGAAGCTAGGAGTTGGAAACTCAATCTGAGTATTTCACACAGGAGACAGGAAGTGATGGTAGAACTTGATCCCAGGCACTTAGATGTGGGATGGGAGTGTCCCAAGCAGCAGCTTAACCACAGTACCTGCCTCTGACATTTTCCTAAGAAAACTGGAAGTGCAGAAAGTGACTAGTAAAGGGGGAGGCCTTGTGGTGCACTGGTTAGGGCTGCCATGTGCAGTGCTGGCATCCCTGACACCAGAGCTCCTGTCTGAGTCAGCTGCTCTGCTTCTGATTCAGCCTCTGCTCATGCACTTTGGAGGCAGCAGATGATGGCACTGGTACTTGAGTCCCTGCCACCCATGTGGGAGACCGGGATGGAGTTCCTGGCTCCTGATTTCAGTCTTACCCAGTCCCAGATGTTGTGGGCATTTGGGCAGTGAAACAGTGGGTAGAAGATCTCTTTCTCCCTTTCCCTCTCTTACTTTGTCTTTCAAATAAATAAATTAGCTAGTCTTCAAAAACTATTAGTTTCATTATCAGTACTGAGAAAAATGAGGAAAAATGTTTTGTAGGAATAATATCAGTGGTTTCTTAATGCAGAGTAATGAAAATATCATAATTTTTCTTTTTTTTAAAAAATATTTATTTATTTGAAAGGCAGAGAGTTACAGAGAGGCAGAGAGAGAGAGAGGCAGAGAGAGAGAGAGAGACCTTCCATCTGATGGTTTACTCCCCAAATGGTTGTAATGGCTGGAGCTACACCAGTTTGAAGCCGGGAGCCAAGAGCTTCTTCTGGGTCTCCCACATGGGTGCAGGGGCCCAAGCACTTGGGCCGTCTTCTAGTGCTTTCCCAGACCATAGCAGAGAGCTGGATCAGAAATGAAGCGGCCGGCAGTTGAACTGGCACTCATATGGGATACCGGCACTGCAGGTGGTGGCTTTATCCTCCTCCCCCTTCTTAAAAAAATTTTTTTTAAATTTATTTGAGAGATAAAGTTACAGACAGAGAGAGGGAGAGACAGAGAGATAGATCTTCTATCCACTGGTTCACTTTCCCAATAACTGCAATGGCCGGAATTGAGCTGATCCAAAGCCAGGAGCCAGGAGCTTCCTCTGGATTTCTCATATGGGTGTAGGGGCCCAAGGATTTGGGCCATCCCCTGCTGCTTTCCCAGGCACATTAGCAGGGAGCTGGATTGGAAGTGGAGCAGCTGGGACTCGAACTGGCGGCCATATGGGATGCTGGTGTTGCAGTCCAGGGCCTTAACACGCTGTGTCACAGCACTGGCCCCCATAATTTTTCTATAAAAATATGTAATTTTTAAATACAAATTTTAAGTAGATTTTTTTCTATGTGGTAGGATGCTAATAATAACTATTTAGGATTATTCTTGCCAAATGGCACTTATTTATATGTGCATTTTGAGCTGCATTTAGCATAAGTAAACATATTTAAGTTTTTAATAAACTGGCTAAATACAGTTTTATGAAAATATATTTTAGAATAAAACCACTGTACTTGATTATTTGATAGCAGGACTTATGGCTTTCATGCTGTTGATGCGATTTATACTTCAGTTGGATTATCACTTAAATGAGCTAAAGCAGACTCAAGTAGTGTTTTCTGTTGGAAAAGTAAGTCTACCATATTGGTGCAAACTGAGGCTTTCAAATGATGATAGCCTAAAGAAGCCATTTTTGCAAAACGTATTTTGTGAGTGGCCTGATTTCTTCATGATCAGGTTTATGTAGTAAATGATGTAATACGGTACCTGTAAAATCAGGCATAAACAAAAGCTTTGACTTATTCTAGGCTCTTTCAGCAAATATGATTCACTGGAAAACCAGCAGGCCAGTTTGTGGGAATGTGAACAGAGGACCACTGCCCCGAATCCGCGGTGGGCATTGCTGGTTCGTGTGTGGCAGCCTGGCTCAGGCTTACCAGGTGGCTCCGTCTCCCAGAGTGAACAGCTAAGGGTGTTGCCGCCTTCCTTCCTGGCTGGGTCCTGCTGTGACAGTAACACAGCTGAGTCATGTGCCTGAAGATGTGCCGAATCAGGGGGAGGGATTCATTCATTTTCTTGTGACTTCTAACGCCAGCGCAGTTGCGTTTTGTCCTGCCTGCTACTGTTGAGGGCTTTGCCTTGAGCCTGATGACGCGGACTCTGCCGTTCTGCACGCCGAGGAGCAGACTTGCAAGCAAAGCACTAGGACCTGAAGGAAGGAAAGGGCCGTGGCCTTTGCCACGCGGCGTCCTGCAAGCAGCGTGTCCCTGGAGGGCTTGAGCAGCTTTGTAGTTTCACACACGGTACCTGCTCTTCAGCGGCCCGGGGGCTCCTGTGCCCCGTAGTGTCCAGGCCTGGCTGGTGCTGTGTCTGGGATGTGTGTGACTCAGCTCTGAGTGTCTGTCACTCAGGCCAGAATAGCATCTGAGAAGAGTCCTAAAGAAGCTTTCGGGAATAGCTTGAAAACTAAAATTATCCGTACTTAAAAATCTCTCCATGTCATGTTTGTTTACTTATTTATTTTTTTGGCTTGATAAATGGTTGCAAAGTGAAAGTTGCGATGTAATATGTAGTAGAGTTTAAAAGAGCCCCTGGGAAACAGGTGACTCAGCATTGCTGATGGCGCTGTAGGGAAGCTGGGCTGAGAGCTTCGGGGGAGTGCGCAGTGAGCGCCCAGCAGTCCCAGGACCTGAGCTCGCGTCCTCAGCACTGACCCAGAGTGGACAGCTTTGTGCTTTCTCGGGGTGATGGGTAGACACTGGGTTCACCTGTACACAGGATTAGTTTTCTCTCTCGTGTGCTTAGGAAGGTTGTTAGCTCCTTTCTCATCTGTGAATTCTAAGTCAGGAAATCATACAAGGAAAAACCTGCAGGTTACATTTCCACTCTATGAATAAACACGAAGAGGAAACGAACACTTTATCAATTCACTTAGACTATCATTTAACATCTTTCATATTGCTTTTCAAGGAGAAATGCTTACATTATCACATTAACGTTAAATTAGCTTAAAAATTCAAAATGTGTCATCATATACTTTGGAAACTTTACAAACAACCTCAGCTAGCAAACTCAGTTATTTTCAATTCTGTCTGTTCTGTTTTTGAGCCAGTTGCTAG